CATAACTTAGTAATGGCAGAACTTTTCGCGAGGCAACTTGGCTCATTTTAAAGCTCCTGGAGCGAGCTTCGATATAGCGAATTCTCAGCTTAATTCGACCGACGGTCTGCATGGCCGCTGCGCGACGTTCAAGGTACTCTTGCTGTTTTGACTAAGTCCTTCTTGATCCCTCTCTCTACAAATTCGGACCCGAGGATAGGGGCTGGTCTTGTACCAGGCACCCAAGGACCTTTGGAGGTGAACCCCGAGAGAGGTTTAAGTTTGATTAAGTCCTAATAGCTTGAGTTTATTAGGCCCTTACACACACACAAATGCCTCAGCCACACCACCTCCTTTGCCCCATGATGAAGGGCCATGTACTCGGTCTCACACGAGGACAGCCCCACCTCGTTCTGCTTCTTGCTGCGCCAGCTTACTACAGCACCTCCAACAGGCACACATAGCCTCCAATGCTGGTGCCATCCGCCTTCACAGAGTTGAAGCTGGCGTCGGTGTAGCAAGTCAAGAGCATCTCCCCCTTGCTCAAGTCAGCTGCACCCCTCTGCAGCCTCTGTCGCACAGCACTGTACTCCAAGCCCACTGATGCTGTAGCGCTCACATAGCGGACCAACCTCTTGGCCGCTTCCAGCTGCTCATGACTGGGGCGTGAAACCACACTCGCAAGCCTGGATGTAGCAAAGGCAATGTCAGGCCGCGTGTGGTTAGCCGCATAGTTGAGTGCCCCCACCATGGAGTGAAAGAGCTTCTTGTCACTCTCACCCACCACCTCCTCATCAGCACAGGGCTCCACAGTGAACCCTGAAGGCAGTGGGGTGGCTGGCTTTCCTCCATCTTGCAGCCCATACTTCTCAGCCAGCCCCTCACAATACTTCCTCTGGTGCAACCTCAACACTCCCTTGTCGAGGTCTCTCTCCACATGCATCCTAAGATAATACTTCACATCTCCCATCTTAGAACACTTGAACTGCATCTCCAGCATCTCCTCCACATGCTCAATAATCGCAGATTACTCGAAGAACAGCAGGATGTCTGTTGGGTGCAAATGCACATTGCACGACATCCTGCCGTCTGTTTGTACGAGTATGCGTGTGCGAATGCATTTGCGTGTGAATGGTGTGTTCGTGTGTTTGTTTGCTTTCGCATTTTTCGCTTGATGCATTTGCAGGTACTCGCGCAATGTGCGCTTCGGCACAACATTGTACGCGCTATGAACAGTGCAAGCAGAAAAGACGAGCTCGCAAAGGAACCCAAGATGGAAGCTTTGCAGTTCGGTTGAGTTGATTGCGCAGATTCAGTTCTATCCAACTCGAAATTGTACTGTTTTGTTTGGGAAGGCACTATAGGGGTACAATTTAGGTGAAGGTTGGATGTTGTTTGTCTGTATCTGCATGCTACAAGGCCAGGGGAAACCAGCGGAACCAGCATTTGGCTGGTTGGGCAAAGACAAAACAGGTTCTGTTTTTAGAACCTGAACCTGGTTGTTGTTTTCCCAGGTTGGAAAAACAGAACCAGAGGTTGTTTACCAACCTACCACCTGCTATTTTGTCCAGCCAGGTTGGTTCTGTTGCTTGGAATTATTTGGGATCATCCCTGGTTGTTCCCAGGTTGATTCCCAAGGTCCTTGCTAGCTAGAACTATTTAATCCTTCTCTGTTTGTACCTGAATATAGTCAAATTGATTCATGTGAATTCCTTCCTCGCTGGAATTTCGTTTCTACGCGGTTCGTTGGCGGAATGCTACCCGAGTCAACGCTAGTACGCTAGCACTCTAATGCTAGGCAAACACCGTCTGAGCCATAACTTCGTAATGGCAGAACTTTTCGCGAGGCAACTTGGCTCATTTTAAAGCTCTTGGAGCGAGCTTCGATATAGCGAATTCTCAGCTTAATCCGATCGACGGTCTGCACGGCACGCTGCGCGACGTTCAAGGTACTCTTGCTGTTTTGACTAAGTCCTTCTTGATCCCTCTCTCTACAAACTCGGACCCGAGGATAGGGGCTGGTCTTGTACCAGGCACCCAGGGACCCTTGGAGGTGACCCCGAGGAGAGGTTTTAAGTTTGATTAAGTCCTAATAGCTTGAGTTTATTAGGCCCTTACACCAACAATGTCGTCCACGCACATCAGGAGCAAGAACAGATTGTGATCACACTCACTCTTCTTGAATCCCCCAGCCAGCAGTGTCTCCTCCAGCTTGTGGTACCATGCACGAGGAGCCTGCTTCAGGCCATACATATCCTTCTTCAGCCTACACACCCTGCCGCTCCCATCATCCAACCCCTCAGGCTGTAACATTTACAGCTCCTCTAGAATGATCCCATTGAGGAAGGTGGTGGTAATGTCAATTTGCTTCACCTGCCATCCACGGTTTGCAGTTTTTGCCAATGACAATCTCAGTGTTGTCCCTTTCCCCACAGGAGCATAGAGCTCGTTGAAGTCCTTCCCCTTTGTCGGCTGGAATCCCTTAGTTACAAGCCTTGACTTGTAGCGGGTCAGCTCCCCATCAGGTCCGTACTTGTGCCTGAAGATCAGCTTGGAAGAAATAGCCTTTTTCCTAGGAGGCAGCTCACACAGCTCCCACATATCATTCTCCAGCAGAGAGTCATACTCCTCCTGCAGTGCGCTATCTCCTACTCATCACACTGCTCAGCCACACTCCCAGCGCTTACAACCTTTGGCTTTTTTTTTTTTTTTTTTTTTTTTTGGACATAATACACTATGCAATGCATTACATCCACAGTCGTAACTGGAAAGGGAGGGAAGGTGCAGGCCAACTTCTTACTGTTTGCAATGCCTTCCCTGTAGCCTTCTATGGTGGATTAAAGAAAGTACTGCGTCGCTCCCATATCGAAGTGAAAGCACTGTTCCACACCAGTTGCTCGTCTTGTTCGCAGATGCGGCTTAGTGCAGCCGCCTCACCAGTTGTCAAGTTTGGCTAGACTCCTCCAGCCCCACCCCTCCTCTGCCCTCCTTTGCCACCAAACCCCTCACTGTAAATCCGCACATGCCTCCTGAAATTTTGCTCCAATCTTCCTGGCCACGCGATTGGGTTCGAATTTTTTCTTCCGGAAGACCGCATCACACCTCTCCAGCCATATGTGTCTGAAAGTGACCGCAATAAGCCTCGATTCCGGGAAATCGGAGGTTGTGCTATCTTCAGCAAATAGCAGCTCGCCCAGTGTTCCCACTGCTCTTGCTGGATTGATCAGGCGTAGTGAGTCTTGAAGCGCGCCACAAATCCCTTTAACCACCGGGCAGCTCATCAAGCAGTGAGTTGGCGACTCCTCCAGCTTGCAATAAGGGCAGCATGCACGCGAGCCGAAGAAAGCCTGCCTGCTGCCCACTTGCAGGTTGTGGCTAAGCAGCCTCAGCAAAACCTCTCTTGCCTTGGCTGGGATGGCCAGCGAGTCCCTCTTCGCAATGGCTTTTTCCCAGTTTATCTTTCGTCCCAGCTCTCTTCCCACTTTTTTGCTGCTTTGGCTGCTGCGTCGGCTTCTTGAGTAGATGCATCAGCTTCCTTTGCGCCGTTGGCTTACCCTCCGCACATAGAAACGAGGCCCGTAATCGTGTCAGGGGGTCTCCCGCCTGCCCTAACACGTATCCCCCGCTCGCCACCATCGGAGTTAGTATACTAATCAGCGACGACGGCTGTACTTCCATCCCCACCTGTTTTATATTTCCTCTGTTATCCACCACCACTCTTTCGCACTTCAACTCTTTATTTTCCGACAGTGCCACTCGAAGGTAACTCTGATTCCCTCCCACCGTTTTTCCCACTTTGACCAGGGTCGTAGTTTCCGCAATTTCTGCCGCCGACACCTTTGCGAGCAATTTCCTTTTCTAGCTCTCCAGGACGTCCTTCCAGGCCATTAAAGCCTACCTCGCCGTGGACGATCTCCCTGTGCTTGGTCAGCGTCCACAGGCCTTTCACCTTCCAGCTCCCATCGTATTCCTCCTGCAGTAAGTCCCCCACTATCATACCCTTCAGGCATTCCGAGCCTTTCTGCCTTTCAAAAGGGCTCTCTCCTTGATAGTGAATCCATCTGCTGAACCATAGATGCTCCTTCTCCATCTCCCATCTGTTTGCAGGTTCAGGCAGCTCCGGCAGTTGCTTCTCCCACATTAACGGCACCAGCTCCTGCCGGGGTTCTCTACCGCCTTTCCACTCTGCGAGGATGGCCTTGTGTGCCAACAGTGTTGCCCAACCCAGGGGCATATTTGCCGTGCTCTCCATCAGCCACTGCTTCATCGGCTTTTCCTCCAGCAGGGCTGCAACCAAGTTCCATAGTGCTTGTCCGTTGATTCTTACTGTTGGGCTGATCACCCCCAGTCCCCCCTCTCTCCTGCTCAGGTGTGCCAAGAGCTCGCTCCAGAGGATGAAATGCTTCTCCTCATCTGCGCAACCTTTCGATATGAAGTTGTGATACAGCTTTCGGATCTTCTTCCAGATCTGCTTCAGCGGCTGGTAGATCTGCGCCTGGATCAGGAGGGCAGATAGGTGAGCCGGTAAGGAGGGCGCACATCCCTCCTAGGACAGTCAGCTGGACGTGCGGCACCTTGTGGAGCACCTTGCTGCTGCTGCTGCTGCTGCTGGTCCTCCACCTCAGGTTCTGCCCCAGCCTCAGTCACCCCAGAGATCTTCTCCTCTGAGACAATGACCTGCACTTGCCTCGAAGGCCGCTGCACCTCATTGGCTTCAATGATCAGCGGTGTAATAGGAAGCTTCTGCTGCTGCTGCTTCCACTCATCGTAGTACTAGGACTCAAGGAATTTCACGTCCCTTGACACAGCCAGCTGCTGGCCTGTCAAGTCCCATATCAACGAGCCATTGTGATCCTTAGCAAGCCCCAAGTGCACACCCCATCTCCCAGAAGCTTCCAGCTTTCCCCTCTTCTCCTTCGGCACATGAAACACCACCATGCAGCCGTAAGCTCTCAGCATGTTGACTGCAGGTGCACTCCCATACCACTTGGTGTAGGTAATCCTCTGCTTCTCCCCGACAGTCGCCAGCACCTTGTTCTTCACAAGGGCGACCTGCCTCAGTGCAGTCACCCAAAACGGATCTGGCAGCCCTGCACGCCCAAGGAGAGTGCGAGCACCTTCCTGCAGGGTTCACGCCGTTCTGCTGAGGATTGTAGTGTTGGAGTAGGCTAGAGCTCGCTCTGGCCTTTATTTTGGTGTGTTCTTTCTCTAGGCTTAGAGAGAGTTACGCACTCAGGGTCATTTTAGGTTCATTTCATAGTTGTTAGGACAAACCGAACACACCCTAGGTTCAATTAGGGTTTCCAACCCTCTCTCTTTTGTATCTCGATATTCTCATTCTAGTCGTTCTTCTTCTACCTAACCAAAACCTCTCACCATCCATGGCTTCTCTTACTTAAACATGGTATCAGAGCCTAGTCCTAGGCGTTTCCGTTTTATCCGCATCTCTTAGAAAGTTTCTGGCCCTTAGGCCATTTCCGCGCTAATAGCTAGACGATTTTTTTCCCTTGTTTTTTTTGTTTTTTTTTTTCTCTATTTTATCGTTTCTTTACTGTCACTCTTAGCATCCTCGCGGTTTTCTTCATTTTAGTCACACGGCGCCTTCCCTCTTCGTCGCGCCTCCCCCTCCTCACGTTCCCGGCGGTAGCGCGCCGATTTCTGCTCGTAGCGCGCTTAGACCCCACCCCCCCCCCCCCCCCCCCCCCCCCCCACCTCCCCGCCCCCTCCCGTCTCGTCGCGCGCGCTTCGCTTCGTCGAGCAGCGCGCGTGCCTGCCTCCCATGCGGCACGCCTTGCTCTTTCACAATCCGCCCTCCCTCCCTCACCCTCCTCCTCCTTTCCTCTCTCCCTTGTGCATCCCTCACTATCTCACCTCTTCCTCCTCATCTTTTCTCTCCTCTTCTGCTGCAGCTCGTACGTACTTGTGGCACGGCCTTCCCACAAGTCCGCCCCTTCACCATCCTCCTCCCCTCCTCTCTTCCTCTCAATCCCCTTCCACTCTTTCACCCCCCTTTTCCTCCACCTCTTTTCTCTCCTCATCTGCTACAGCTGGTGGCTGATTGCGTTTTTGAATTTGTTACTCCTCCCCACCTTTCCTCCTCCTCAGTACCCTCCCCTCAACTGCTCAACTGTGAACTCCTTCACAACTCTCCCTCCTCTTGTTTCTCCCTTCACCGGCCCAGCAGCAGACTACCTCGCCGCTATCCCTCCTCCTCTAGTTTCTCCCCTCAGCGGCGCAGCAGCAGACTACTCCGCCACTATCCCTCCTCCTCTAGTTTCTCCCCTCAGCGGCGCAGCAGCAGACTACTCCGCCACTATCCCTCCTCCTCTAGTTTCTCCCCTCAGCGGCGCAGCAGCAGACTACTCCGCCACTATCCCTCCTCCTCTTGTTTCTCCCCTCAGCGGCTCAGCAGCAGACTACTCCGTCCATATCCCTCCTCCTCTTGTTTTCTCCCCTCAGCGGCTCAGCAGCAGACTGCTTCGCCCTTATTCCTCCGCCTCTTATACCTCTCCCCTCATCTGCTCTGCAGCTGTCTCCTCCTCCTTATGGCGACTTCTCTCGCCCTCCCTCTGCTGGTCCTTCAGCTCGCGCCTGATGGCAGCGCAGTCAACTTCCCCAGTTGGCTGAACTGTCTTGAGCGCACGCTGTCTGGCACCCTCGTGAGTGGCTTTAACCTCTGGTTTGTCACTCAGCAGAGTGGTTCTGGCGCCATTCCTAAACATGCCTCTGCACCTACCACTACCTCCTCTGATCCCTATGCTGATGGCCTTCGTGCTGCTATCGCTGAAACTGAGCGGATTGCGGCCACGGCCCAAACCACTGCCATGGCTGCTCCTGACAATGCTGTTGCCCGTGACCTCGCTCGTGTTCTTTCTGAATCCTTGAGCTACCCCTTCTCCTCGCTCTGCCCCGCCGACCATTGGTCATTCTCTCGTGTCTCTGCCTTCCTCCTCCAGGCAGAGCTCAACCTCCGCAGCTGCCCTCCTACTGCCGCCGCTGTCGCACCCTCTTCTGTCCCCCCTCCTCTCCCCACCACCACTGCCGCTGCCGCTTCCTCTCGCCCTCGCAACACCTTTCCTCCTTGCACCTACATCATTCGCCAGGGGCCCCGCAAGGGTCAGCCCTGCGGTCGCACCAATCATCCCGCCACCTCCTGCTTCCAGAAACTCACCGATGACTGGTTCCTGGCTGGCAACACTGGTCGCCCTCCCAACTGGCTTCAACTCTCTCGTCAGCGTCGCCAGTCTTCTGCCCAGGCGGTACTTGTGGCCGCCGACTCTGGTGCCAGTACTCAAACCTCTGCTCTCAGTGTGACTATGCCTAGTCAGGATAGCATTCTGGGGGCTTCTCCCCTTATGGACCCTCGTTTTGCCATGATGTTTGCTCCTTCTGTTAATGGCAATGATTCTCAGTATCTTGGTCCCACAGCTGCTGCTCTTTCCCTCCCTTGCATACTTGAGTTGGTTCTTGACAGTGGTGACTCTGTTTTTTGTGACGCTGGTGTGCTTCGCTCTTTTCCCCATCCCCTCTCCATTCAAGGGGCTGGGGATACCATGACCATGTCTTGTACTGCTACCTCCTCTCTTCCCTGTCCTGCCTCCCCTCTGGTGCTGCGACTGGCCTCTATGTTCCTTCCTGCCGCCACAACCTTCTTTCTCTCTCTGCTCTTCAACGTCTTTCTGTGTGAGCTATCTTTCGTGAATGTGACTCCTAGTGTGATCTCTATCATCGCAACTGCCATCTTGCACGCTTCACTCTTTCCCCTATCACTCGCCTCTACACTCTTCGTGTCTCTCTCCCCCCTTCTGCCCATCATGCCTCTTCCGCTTCCGCCCCTCCTGTTCCTTCTTGCGACTGTCGTTCTCTCACTCAACCTACCCTCCTCCTCCATCATCGACTTGGCCACCCCAATTTTCCCCTTCTTCGCAGTATGGTCTCCTCCAAGCTTCTTCATGGCCTCCCTTCCTCTCTTCCCCCCCTTCCTGCCTCTCCCGCTCCTCCATGCACCCCATGTGTCCAGGCCAAGCTATCCCAGTCACCCCATCCCTCTTCTCCCTCTGCCTCTCCCCAACCCCTTGACCTTGTTCATATGGATCTCTGGGGTCCTTCACCTACTGCTTCTCGCCAGGGTCATCGATACTTTCTGCTTTTGGTTGATGATCACTCACGATTTGCCACTGTCTATCCCCTCCGTGCCAAATCTGACGCTCCCTCCCTGATCATTCGTTGGGCTGAGCAGGCTCGTCTGCGCTTTCAGCGTCCTGTCGCGCGCTTTTACTCAAATGGTGGTGGCGAATTCTTTAATCACTCTCTCCCCTCTTACTGTGCCTCTCATGGCATTCGCTAGACCTCCACCCTTCCTCACTCCCCAGAACAGAATGGGGTTGCTGAGCGTCGCAATCTCACTCTAATGGAAATTACTCGCTGCCTACTCATTCATGCTTCTGCTCTCCACTCTCTTTGGAGCTATGCTCTCCTCCATGCCACTCTAATCTCTAACCTTCGCCCTCATCCTCTTCGCCCTACTACCACCCCCTTCCAGCTTTGGACTGGCCGCCAGCCCTCTGTTCGCCCTCTTTGGGTCTGGGGGTGTGTCGCCCATGTTCTTGTCAATCCAGCAGACCGGTCCCGTCAAGGTGGGAAACTCGCTCCCAAGACACAACTCTGTGCATTCCTTGGCATAAACTCTGACTGTCCTGGCTACCTTTTCTATGCCCCTTCCTCTCACCAGCTCATCCGCAGCCAGGACGTCATTTTCAATGAGACTCGATCCCCATTCCATTCCCCCCCACCCGCCCCTCCTGTCCTCTCTCTTAACTGGTCTGATTTCGATCAGCCGCCGTCTGTTCTTCCCTCCCCTCCTCCCCCCCCTCTTATCCCGCCCCTTCCCGCCCCTCCCCCCGCGCCAGCCTCTACTGCCTCACCTTCCGATATAATCTCTGGAGCCTCCCCACCCTCCTCTTCCTCTTCGGCTCCCCTCCCTTCCTCACCTCCAACTTCCTCTCCACCTCCTTCGCCTGTTCCCATCCCCCCCCCCAACCCCCGCTTCCCCCTGCCTTACTCGCTCCATGACTCGCGCACTTTCTAACTTTCAGTACTCTGCTCTTTTCGCTCGTACTTCTCCATCCCAGAATGTTAATCTTCTTGAGGATCGCTTTGAGGAGCTCTTCAACATTCATCCTGTTTCTCCTCTTCTGTGTGTCACCGTCGGTGACTTTAGCAATTCTCCCACTCTTCTTTCTGTTGACACCGCTGCCATTCCCACCCCTCTGTCCTACTCCGAGGCTGTGTTAGGCTTTCATGACACTGATGGATGACTGCCATCATTGCTGAGTGCGAGGCATTTACCAGAATTAATTCATATATTGACTCTGTCCCCCCCCCCTGGCGCCACAATTGTTAAAGGCAAATAGGTCTTCCGTGTCAAGCAGCTGCTCTCCGAACTTCCTGTCTTCAAGGCCCGCTACTGTGCCAAGGGCTTCACTCAGCGTGAAGGCATTGACTACTTTGCCACTTACTCCCCCACAGCCCGTCTCCCCACTCTCCGCCTCCTTCTTGACTTAGGCGCTCGCTGGAATTGGGAGATCCACTCCATGGACGTTTCCAATGCTTTCCTCCATGGCGAGTTGCATGAGCGCATAATCGTTGAGCACCCCGCTGGTTTTCCTTGCCTTTTCCTTCCAGGCACTGTTTGGGAATTAAAGCGACCTGTGTATGGCCTTAAACAGGCCCCGCGCGAGTGGCACGCCAAGCTCGCCTCCACCCTTCACTCTCTTGGCTTCTCTACCTCATCTGACCCCAGTCTTTTCATTCGCACATCCCCCCACAGGCTTTACATCCTTGCCTACGTGGACAATTTGGTGCTGCTTGCTGAGGACCCCGCCGATTTTGCAGCTCTCAAGAAAGCCCTGCAGGCGCGTCTCATGTGCAAGGATCTTGGCGAGCTTCGTCACTACCTCGGCATGGAGATCCGTCGTGATCGTACTGCCCGTACCATCTCCCTCTCCCAGTCTTTCTACATCCAGTCCATCCTCCAGCGGTTCGAGATGTTGCAGGCTAAGCCGGTTGTCAACAGGAGTGTTGTGTGGCCCCGTCCTCGCTTGGGCGGAGCCGACTTCGTGGTCGGGTGCTTGGGGGATGCAGCCGACCTGCAGCAGTGGGCACGGGGGCCACTGCAAGGGCGTGGTGTTGGGAGGCGCCTGGCTGGTGGGCGCCGAGCAGGTGGACGCCGTCCTTGGCGTCTGGACGGCGTCCTGGGCGTCTGCTCGGCGTCCTGGGCGCCTGGACGCCGTCCTGGGCGTCTGCTCGGCGTCCTGGGCGCCTGGACGCCGTCCTGGGCGTCTGCTCGGCGTCCTGGGAGGTGGGACGCCGACCTGGGGGTCTGCTCGGCGTCCCGGGCGCCTGGACGCCGTCATGAGCGCCTGGACGGCGTCCTGGGCGAGTGGACGCCGACCTGGACGCCAGGACGCCGACCTGGGGACGCCGGGCTTGGCGTAGCCGGCGTCCGACTGGGCTGGACGACCAGGCGGGGTTGCCCGGTCGACCGGGATACCCGGGCGACGTGTGCGAAGGTCGCCGGGGGAGGTTTCTGCGAGGACGACCTCGGGGGTGGTATCCCGAGGTCGACGTGGCTGGTGGGCGCCGTCACGGGCGGGAATGTCTGCGCTGGGCACGTGACGAGGAGTTGGACGCCAACCAGCCGCGCACATCTGCGAAGCAGGTGCACCGTTGTCCTGCGGGTGCAACGCTGTGCAGCCGACTTGCTGCAGCGTTGGCACACCACGGACATGCAACGTTGGCGCGCCGCATCTCTGCAGCGCTGGAGCGGTGCGAGCACTGCTGCGCTGGAACGTGGTCGACCGTGCTGCGCTGGAGGTCGACCAGCAGCTGTGCTAGCTCTGATGTAGTGATGCATGCCAATGTTGTTGCAATCATTCTGAACCTTTGTTGTGATGTTTTCCTAGTGGAACTCTTGCCAATTCTCCCCGTGAACTAGCAAGCAGTGTGCGCACAAGGAAACGACTAAGTGAACGAACGCAGAGCTACCTCTCACACACG